GCAGCCTCCAGGCACTCAGTGGAAGGGTGGAAGTGGGGAGACATGGGTCTGCCACCTTTGCCGCCATCAGTCCCACACAGCCCTCACAGATGCTGGGACACAGTGTGGGCAGGACAGACAGACAAACTGAGGCCCAGAAGCCACAAGCACTGTGTCTGTGATCCCAGCCAAAGAGGAGCAGGGGAGTGGCCTAGGTGATGGAGGCCAGGGACAACAAGCTGGCTCGCAGACACACAGGGCCACCATCAGGAGGACCATGGCTCCACTGCGCTGGGCCACAGTGTGTGAGCATTCACCCTGTGGCTCCACGGCCCATGACAGGCGTGCAGGGACAGAGCAGACTGCTCCCAGCCCGTGAGTAGCCGCAGGCTTTGCAGACCATCTTCGATGCCCATGATGCTCAGAGGGGCCTTCACCAGAGGTCAGGCAGCTGACCCAGGGCAGCACAAGCTCCCATTGTTGCTCCTGCAGCCCAGGAAAGGCCACCCCCTTAGATGTTAGGGAGACCACTGTCCCCTCTGCTCAAGCTCAGATTCCTCCCAAAGAGCATCCAGAAAATGCGACCCAGGTTTGGGTGAAGACTCACGAGATTTCTGTTGTCTGGTGCTATGGTGGGTGGATCCCAGACAGGAACTCCACCCCGGCTTCAGTTTCCTCACCTACCAAGTGGGTGTGTGAGGACAGGGCCCTCAGCAGCAGTCAGTGTCGCCACTGCTCCCATGACAAGCCTTATCACAGCAGAGCACTGACCCACACAACAGGAGAGCCCAGTCCGGGCTCCCACCCCCCCATCAGCAAACTGCTGCTGCCAAGGCAAGGTAGCAGACATCCACCGGGGCGGGCGGAGGAGGCTATGCAAGGGCTTTGTGTTCAGCGGCTGGCGGGGACCCCTTGGAGGGAGCAGCCCCTCCCCCACGGCAGCCCTTAGGCAGAATAAGGGAGCAGACCAATGCTGGCCTAGGCAGGTTCCAGGCTCAGTGTCGTACCTCCGTTCCATGACTGCAGGTCAGTGTTCCTGCTCTCTGGGCCTCAGTTTCCCCATCTGGAGAGTAGAGAGCAGCCTGGAGGTGCTCTGGCTGGTGGGCATGGACACTCCCAGCTGATAGCTCCTCTCAGCAGTGACGGTCCTCTGTCCCCCTCCTTGGAGGGCTGGACTGGGCACACATACAGCCCCCCAGATCAAGGCCCCCACAGGCGGGACCAACAGTGTAGGCTTTTACACATGGACAAGAGGGCCACATCCTGGCCCCCCACGCTCCTGACCCTTAGCAACCAGACCTAGCATGATCATGTGCCCCCTGCCTGGGGGGACACTGAACACCAGCTTGCAGAGAAATTACTACCACTGAGCCCCCTGCATGGGCCTGAGGGAGTTCTGGCCCCCCTACACGGCCACCACCATCAGGACTCAGGCAGCCTCCACTGCGTGCCTCGAGGCCCACGGCCCCAGCGTCCTAAGACTGGGAAGAACTTGGTCATTTCCAGCAGAAATGCACAGCACGCCCCTGACATCACCCAAAGCTGGGAGCTGGGCAGCCAGGCCAGGACCACCAGCCCACACAGCCATTCACCTGCTGATGTGGCCACTGGGAGGCCAGGGCAGGGTTTCTCAAGCACAACTGTGTGCAGCAGGTCGCATCTGGGTTCAGGTGTCCGTTTTATGAATTATCAAAGTTAACGTGTAGTGATCTGTGTGGGAAACAGAATTACAGACAGGAAGTCACCCGTTACCACAGCTAAAACTGGGTGTTTTCCTTTTCATTTTTTATTCCTGGATACATGCTTCCTAGACACATGTACAGAGGTGGTACGTAAGCCTCTCTTTCAGCAGAAAAAGGAGGGATACAAGACTATACGCCGGTGTGGTTCTATCTGCACAACATACTCCGAAAAGGCCAGAAGCTGGCCAGAGTAGTTACTGCAGGAGATCAAGGCTGGAACTGAACATTTTTTCGAGATATACCTTTTCACTGATACCGATCTTTGAACCAACTGAAAGTGTCTCGCTGTTCTGAAGCAAATTAGCAAAGCACCACACAGACGCCAAACCAGAAGGGTGGTTTCCACCGCGTACACGTGCCTCTCGAGAGGTGGGCAGCGCACAGACAGAGCCTGAAGGGGAAGCGCTGGGGCCCAGGCGTGCACGCACCCCTGATGAAGGGCTGGGAGGCGCACAGTAGGTCTGCTGGGCTCACCCAGGCTCTGCCTGCAAAGTGGACCTCCCAGGAGACCCAGGGGCTGGCACAACCTGACCTGTGGCCATAGGTTCCTTTGCCATTAGGGAGGAAGGGTCAGGAGGACCTCAGTTCTGCCCTGGCCTGTCCCCCAAGGGCCTTGCCGTCATCTCTGGAGACAGAGATGTCACAGGAACCAGGACAGCAAGAAACATCCACCTGTCCCCAGTGTTCCTGGTCAATGAGAGCAGAGGAAAGGCGCCCCTGTCCCCCCACCACACCACAAGACCGCCGTGCTGCCACCTGCTCACTGTTCCCACCCTGCTGAACAGAGTGAGAAAGCTGACGGAGGACCGGCGCTCAGATGTGCAACCCCTGCCCGGCCCACGGCCCCTGCACCCCCTCAGCTCAGACAGCAAGCTCTAGCCGTCCAACTCCATGCCCAGGGCCTTGGACACACTGTGAACCTGGCCAGACCTGGGAGCCCTCTCCTCAGCCAACACCACCACTGTCACATGTGTGTGTCCCCAGCATTTCACAGAAGTGGCCTGTGATCCTCTCAGCCACCCGAGACAGAGACTCATCCCCCCTTCGGGGCAAACACAGGTGCACAGGGAGGTGCTGGAAGGGTGGGGTCAGGGACCTGCCTAGGGCACGGGGGGCGGGGGAGGCTGCACCCTCAGGACAAGGGTAAGGAGGACTCGTGGACACTGGCACTCTCAAACCTCCTGAGCCAAGTCTACACCTGACATTTGGGTGTTATGCCCTGGGGGTGACAGCTGCTCACATCCCCATGCCACGGCAGCCCTGGCAAAGCTCTGACACTGGGCAGGGAGGGGAGGCTTGATGTTCATGGCACTGGGCCTCAGTGTCCCCATCTGTACAGTGGAGTCTGAGGACAAGCAGACTCAGAATCGTGCTACATTCAGTGTCCTGACGAATTATCTGAACTCTGGGGAAAACCATTACACTTTAGTAAGAAATGAGCCCAAACAAGAGAACCAATCTAGAAGTTATGACTTGTGCGGAAGCCCCGTACTTTCCAAGGCAGGCGGGTCCCTCCCTGGCTCAGTAGGGCAGAAAAAGGTGCATGGTGACGCGGCTGGGTGAACACCAAGAAGACAGCAGACTCAGTCTCACTATGGCCTGACCGGGGCTGCTCAGAGTCTGCAGAAGCCCCCACCCCCGAGGCTGCACTGAGTATCCCCGCTGCCGGAGGGGTGTGGCCAAGGCTGCTGCGGGCTCGTTTCAGCAGGGGTGCAGTGAATTCTGGCACAACCTTCCTCAGAAGCAATTTCTCCTCTCACCTGTTCACTGCACAAACACGTATGGGGCAGGGGGACCTCACGGAGGGCACACAAGACAGACGTGGTGCCTGCTCTCTTCCAGCTTACAAGTTCTGGTGGGGAGAGAGCCCGTCTCTAGATGCCTTCCGAGAGAGTGGTCACGGACAGGAAGGAAAGCGAGCGACGGGCGGGGTGGGGAAGAAGGGGTGCTGCTTCAGAAGGTTACTAGGGAGGCCTGAGTAACGTCTGTGCTGAGACACGAGGGCTCCAAACAACCTTGGCAGAGGGGACAGAGGTCCAGAGGCCGCGAGGCAGCAGGAAACCTCAGGGGGGCCAATATGCTGGCACAAGAGGCCAGCATGCAGGGCCTTGGAGACCACAGTCAGGGTTCTGTTTTGTGCCCACCTGGCAGGGCAGGTACACATCTGGAAGGTGGCTGGAGTAACCACTCTCCAAAGCTGCGGCGCAGAACTTGGCCACGCCTTCCCAGTTCAGAGCTGGGGCACGTGCCACCCCCCAAGGTGTCCTAGCTGGGGACCCCTTAATCCGGGAGCCATCTAGGGCCCCCCAGGTGTACACAAAGAGGACCGGAGTGGGGGTGGGGGAGCTGTGTGGTTGGCGTAAGTGCCCCACCTACACATGCACCTGCCCAGACAGAAAGCAGCACACCTGTCCCTGGGCCACGTCCCTCTGGCTGCCAGCACCCGACCCCGAGGCTCTCCACAGACCTGGCCCACCTCAGGGAGAGGACCCACTGCAGGGATCTGCAAGGGAGGCACTTCCTCTCTCCCCAAGCTGAGCCTCTGACTGGGGATCCCAGGCCACTGGCTCCCAGGCTCCAGGAAAATGGGGGGGGGCTGTTAACTGAGCAATGTCTGGGACCCCCAAGCCCAGCAGATGCTGGCGGCCCCTAGTAAGCGGGGCATGGGGCCCCTGCGGGGCAGGGGGGCTGGCTGGCTGAGGCTGGCAGGGCTGTGGGATCTCGCCAGCACTTCTACCCAGTTTAGGAGGCCGTGGTCCCCACCCACCCCACTTGCCAAATCTCTGACAGTCAGTACGCACTTCCTTCTCAACTCACCTGGGCTCACGCAAGAAGGGCGGTTATTTGCTCAGCAAATACTGCCCAGGACAGCTCAGCCAGACAAGCGGTAATTCTGCCACCCTATTAACTAACCGGGGGAACAGCCGTCAGGAAAGGGGTCTCAGAAATCCCCCCCCGCCCCGCCGTCCAAACAGAAACCTCAAGGAGGAGAAGAGGAACAGGAAGAACCGCAAGGTCTCCCCTCCGCCTCCGCCTTCACCACGACCAGCGGAGCTCACCTCCCTGGCACGTCCTGAGCCGAACACAGCGGTATTTTGGAAGGAGAGCAGCGGAAACAAGGCGTGTGTGCAAGCAGACGGCGCTCGGCCGGACGGTGCGATCAGACTCTTCCCCCAGCCGCTCAAGACTCGCGCCCGCCGGCGCCCCCGCGGGCGGCCGGGCAGCCCGAAGGGTGGGTGTGCCGCCGCCCCAGGAGCCCCCGCCCGCCGCCCCACCTACCTCCAAGGCCTCGAGCGTGCTGAAGCTGGCGATGGCGAAGCCGTCGATGACCTCCTCCTCCTGCGAGCTGGACTCGCGGCGGCGGCGGCGCGGGGGGCGCGCGGCGGCGGCGCGGGGCGCGGGCGCGCGGGGCAGGCCCGCGTTCTCCTTCCCGGGCCCGGGCTCGGTCTCGTCGCCCGACGACGCGCTCCGGTCGCGGGCGTCGCGGGCCGCCTCCCGACGGCGGCCGCGATCCCGCTGCGCGCGCGAGCGCCGGCTCTGGCGGACCTTGGCCTCCATGGTGCGCGGTGACCTTGCGGCCGCGCCGTCGGGCTCCCGCGCTCCCGCTGCGCTACGCGGCGCCGCCGGGCTCGGTGCGGGCCGCGCGGGCTCGGGCCCTGGGCGGCGGCGGCGGAAGGCAGGCCGGGCCGGGCATGCCGCGCGGGGTCCCTCAGCCCCGGGCCCGGCGCGGCCTGGGAGCCCCGGCGCGGGCGGCCGCGCGCATCGGCGGGGCGGCCGGCGCTCAGCGGCCCGCGGCCGCGGCCCCGGGGGCGCGCCTCATGCGCGGCGGGCGGCGGCGGCGGCGGCGGCGGGCGGAGCGCGGGCGGGGCGGGTCCCGGGCCGAGGCGCCGCGGCTCGTGAAGCTGAGGGTCAGGCTGAGGCTGAAGCGGAGGCGGAGGCGGCGGCGGCGGCGGCGCCCGGAGCGGATAACAACTGACGTACTTCCGCCCGGCAGCCAGCGCCAGAGGAAGTGGGCGCTCCGCGGAGCCCGGCGCCAGCCCCGCCCAGGCCCCGCCCCGACCGCGCCCTGGCCCCGCCCCTCCGGCGCGCCGCCGGCCGGACCCGCCCAGGCCCCGCCCCAAGCGCCCGTCGCCCCGCCCACGTCGGCCCCGCCCCGCCTCCGGCGGGCGAGGCCCCGCCCCGTGCGCGCTGCGCTCTGCCGAGCCCCGACCCCGTCCCTGCAGGCTCCGCCCCTCGGGGAGGGAGCTGGAAGGCCGCGCCTCTTCCCGCCCCTCTGCCCGCACCTGGGCTGTGGCCCCTTCACGTGGGAAGTGCAGGGTCCAGGGGTCTCTGCCCTTCTCCAGCCTCGGTCTCACTCCGGAAAAGGGGAGGGGCGGCCTCTCCAGCCAAACCCGACACGAGGGCCGAGGGGCAAGCTCACCGTCACCCCGAGCTGGGGGCTGCGATGGGGGTGGGGTCTCACTGGGGGAGTTCTCCCAGGCACTAGAAGTCCTGCCCACGGGGGGATGTGTGTAGAAGGGGGATGGACTGCCCCTCCTTCCCAGAGAGGGAGGGCGTGAAGGCCGGGTGAAAGGTTCCCGGCCCTCCCACTAGCCCGCACCCCAACCTGAGCTGTCTCCATGTGACCCCCTGCCCGTTTCCTGCAGGGGGTCTCCTGTAGGCTCTCAGCTCCTGGAGCTCTCCACTGCCCCTGCCCAGGTGGAGTCCTGACCTCCCTGCTGCACTTCCGGGCGCAGTGCACCCCCTCCCTCTCCCATGTCAGGTTGCTCAGATTTTAGAGTAGGACAGCCCTCCCAAGACCAGAGACCCCAGAATGCACCCTGGGGTCTGCCTGGTTTGCATTGAGACAGCAGTTTGGGCTGCAGGGGTGCTACCGAAGAGCAGGAACAGATGGGAAGGGGCAGCTGGAGAGTTGAAAGCTAGATATAATGGTGAACTTCCTCTTTCATCAACAGGGGACCACCTGGGGAAAGGAGGGACCTGCAGGTGGGGAGAGGCTGTTTTCTTCAATCCCAAGATCATTAATTCACTCAACACATACTTACCAAATGCACTAGGTCCAGGCACTGTTTGTGAGGCTGTAGTGGACGAGACAGACAGCCCTTTTGGAAGTGGGAGAGAACACGACCACAGAGCCAAATAACAGAGTATCTGATGATAACACGAAGCTTACTGAATAGGGAGGTGCGATAGAAAGTGAGTACTGGGTAGTCTCAGAATGCCTCTGAGTGCGGATCTGAGCTGAGACCCGCAAGATGAGAAGGATCTGGCGGAACCGTGTTTCCCTGAAGAGAGCACAGCCCATGCAAAGGCACTGAGGCATGGTAACATTTGCTGCACTATGTGGAGACTGAAGGGAACACAGTACATGAGCGCTGGAAGGTGCCCCCTTGCTCAGTGAGGAAGTGCTGCCCTGGGCAATACTGGAGAGATAGTCCACTGTCCCCCCATATAGGGACTTGGCTTTCAGTCTGTATCACCCTGCCCCTTGGAGGGCTGAGGGCCCCAGTGTGGGGGGGGGCAGGGAGGTGGGTGGTCTGGGTGCCCCGTTGGCCGAGCTGTCCCTGGTGGTCGTTGGAAAGGCAGCTCTACAAGCTTCCAGACACAGGGTTGGGGCTCTCAGGCCCCAGAACTGCCCGCCTCCAGGCCACCCGAGCCCCTCCCCTCGGCGAGGCTGTCTCTGCTCTGGGCCCTCCCCAGCCTTCTCCTAGCCTTCCCAGGGTGGGGTCAGGGTTCTCCTCCACCTCTTCCCATTCCAGGTTTTGTTATGAAAACTTTCTCTGACTCCTCCAGCATCATCCCCTGTGAGTTGTAAGAGCCTCATTAGGAAGACAGAAATGGACCCAGACTGGTCCCTCTATATTCCCGCTACCCTAATTCCCCTCTGAGGACAGAAGGCCAGAAAATGTGGGCATTGGAGGGTGTCCCAGGATAATATTGCAGGATTTCATTTGGATACAGGCCCTTGGGTCCAAGGCTTGTTCCAAGGGCAACTTCCAGGCTCCACATCTGCTCTGTAGGGTGCAGAGACCCGCCCTACACCCAGCCTGGGGCTTCCAATGGGCCCTTTCCTGCCGCCCCTTCCCCCCCTCCTAGAACAATGCCGCACTGGGCAGGGCAGTCATAGAGCCAGCGTCCTCAGCTTCCTCCCACGAGACTAGGGGAATGATTGGGCTTCTCTGCCCTGGGGGTCCCTGCTCCAAAACAGGGCTGGAGGTGATGACTCTGCTCCCGCAGTGGGTGGTCTGAAGGTTCAGCGCGTTCTCCAGCTCTGAAACTGTCAGTCACGTGGGACTGGGAGGTTCGTTGGCGTGCATCTCTGGGCCTGCCCCAGAGCTTCCGATTCATCTGGTCCCACGTGGGGCTTGAAAATTTGCATGTCCAACAAACAGGCTGCAGTTCTGGGGACCACACTTTGGGGACCACAACAGCACCTGGCGCATAGTAGGGCTTGCAGACGTGTGCCCCCCTCTGCAGCCACCAGTGTCCCTGAGAATGGGGTCCTGCCCCTTCCCCAGGCGATCCCACCCTCAGGGCCTGGCTGGCCCATGACGACCATGATACCCTCCCTCTTCTTGTTGCCCTAGTTCTGGGCGCCTCACGAGCTCCCTCCCAGGCCTGGGGCTTGGCTCTTTGGCCCGCGACCGGCCCAGGTCTCCCCTGCCACTTCATCCTGTCGCCGAGGACCATCCTTCCGAGTGCAGTAAGGGCAGAGGGGGTCCCTGCCCACAGACGCGAACTCCGCCAGAGAGAAGCCTCTCTCCACCCCAGCCTGCCATGGAAGTGCTGGCCCGGCAGCCCAGCCCTCACCCGGTCACTGCAGACAGCACAGCGCCCTCCCCAGCACAGCTCGGAGAGGCTTTGCTGGTAATTAGTCGCTTCCAGGATGGCCTGTCAGCCCCATCGATCTTCACCATTTGGTTTTGCTTTAGAGAGTAGCTGCTCTTCTGTAAGGCTCTGAGCAAGTTAATTGACATGAAATTCTATTCAAAATTCAATTTGCTCTCACAGATCCGATTCAGGCCCTATAAATCAGCAGGGCCAGCTGCTCCTTTGCGGTTCAAACATGCTTTTTGCTTGCAGGGTGACAGCCAGAAGATGATGAGTCCTGGCTAGCAGGACAGCCCCTGGTGCCGCATCTATGAACCGGAGGTCAGCTCCTCTGTGCGTCCCGGTATCCACTGCGCCTCCTTCAGGTAAGAGCACTTCAGTGCATTTCGGATACTTAGACCACTTCCATGGACGCCATCTTGGTCGGCTCCCTGGGAAGTCCCACTGTCCCCTAGCCAAGGAATGGCAGGTGTGTTTGCTCCCGCCGCGATAATGCTGTGTAACGAACAGCCCACAGAATTTCTGTGACTTACAACACCAGTTCTTCTTTCTTGCTCCCAGGGCTGTCGGTTGACCTGAGGGACTCTGCTCCAGACTGTGGGTCAGGTTCAGGTATCTCTCTGGGACCCAGGCGGCAAGAGGAGAGCTACCTGGGGCGTTCTCTGTACAAAACTCAGAGGGCCAAGCTCAACCACACAGGCACGCTGAAAGTCTATGCTGTAGGCCTTGCATCTTGTCTGTTCACATCTGGTGCAAGGCAAGGCAGGTGGCCAAGACCATCCTATGTGGGATAGGAAGCTGATGCCTGCCCCTGGGGTGGGTGGGGGCTGGCACTGCAGAACCCCATGGCAGGGGATGCGTGTGGGTCTGCGACAGAGAGGAAGTGAACCTTTGGGGACTAGATTCCCATTTGTCACAGACAGATTACAATCTGTCTTCAGGACAGTATCCAAGAGATTGATAGATATTCCGGGTGCACCTGTCCCAAATGTGCCCCTTCCCCTGATTCCTGCTCCTCAGGATCTGTTCTGTGGTCAGTTTCTGAGCCTGCTCCTGCCCTGGGGGCTACCCACATCCTGCCCCTGTCCGTCCACACCCTCCCTCTTCCTCAGCCCTGACTCTGATATCATTTCTTCCCAGAGGCTGGCTGGTGGCTTCATGCTGAGCAGGGTGCCCACATGAGAAGCTGGTGCGTGCTCAGGCAGGCACAAGTAAAAGCAGGACCAGTTTTCTCTGGAGAGCCTGCAAGGAACCAGGTCTGCCTCAGTCACACACGGAGTTAGGATCCACGGTCCCCTGCCCCCACGCCGGCGTGGACACCTCCAGGCCTGCAGCCCGAGGGCTCCTGCCCCTCTCCTTCCTCCTCTTAGTCCCGATGAAGCAGGATAGCTGTGTCATGTGGGTGGAGGTGGCGAGTGGCCTGCTCGGGAGCTTGGGTTTGTCTAGACCATCTTCACAGCTGCCGCTATCCTCCCCAGAGGCGTGCCCACACCCTGCGTGCTGTCCCCACCACCCCGTCCCTCTGTGGTGGAAGGCCAGGCTCCGGGGCCCCACCCCACGGAGCTGAGAGGCTCCTGGGTGTTTGTTACTTGGCACTTTTGTGGACTAGCTGACAGGTGCAGATGGGATGATGTGTGACCGGGCTGTGCGTGGGGACTGAAGTGTTTCCGCTCGGCCAGCCCAGGCTACAGGAACAAGCCGTCGGTGACTTTCAGAACATCTGTGGTGTGCAGCGAGGGGGTGTGATCTCCAGAGGCGCAGACCCGGCCCCCCAGGGCCTGCGGTCAGCCAGAGGGGGCGAGTACTTCGCAAATCATTACAGTGCACGTTACCAGTTCCTTGTATTTGTCAGTTTCTGCAGCATAGAGGGGGTGGAGGCCCCCGCTGAGTGACTGGATGTGAGGTCAGTGAGTGTGTCTGCGCAGGGGAGCATGATGCG